TCCCCACACGTTTCCCCTCAGGCGCAGGCCGCGGGGTGGAGCCTGCACAGATCCGCCCCCACAGGGAATGCGGGATGCTCAGCCCCCGCCCCTCACAGCCCCGCCCGTGCCTCAGCCAGGGGCCGCGGTCAGTTCCTGATACCTGTCCGTGATCCCAGTCCCGGTTCCCGATCCCGGTCCGGTACCGCCCGCGGCCTCCGCCACGTCCCGCACCCCGCAGCAAATGGCGGCCCCTTCCCCTCCCGGGCCCCGGGCCCGTCCCCGCCATCCCCCGCAACGCTCCCGGCGCCACCACCCACTCCCTTCGGCCAGGCTCGGACCACCACGGACAGCGATGTCACATCTTTAATTCAAAAATAAATAAATAAATATATATACACACACAAACCCATGTTCAAGCGCTTGGTGCTCCGAGGCARCCAAGAACGCCCTTTCCTCCCGTCAGAGCCCCACGAGCAAGAATCCCAAGTACCCTTTGGAGAAGGACAGCGATGCATTTCCACACCCCGGGCTCCCGAGAGGATTCTCCTTTTCCCTGTGGAGCACTGTACAAACACAGCTTGTCCCCTCCTTCACCGCAGAAGTTCAGAGCCACACTCCCTCCCTCACAACACACAACAGCACCAGCACCCTTACCCTCCCGGTTAGGAACAAAGAACATTTATTGCTTTGGGGGATGTTTTTACCTCCCTCCTGCATTTCCTGGCTGATTGTGCTTCCCACAGGAGGTCTCCCATCTCCATCAAGTACTCGAAATCTTTGGATGAAAGGTACAATCTGGTTTCAGTGCAAAACGCTATGGAGGAGTTCAAGCTCCGTGGAGGACATTGAGTCCTGGAAGTCACTGGATTTGGGATTTGGTGTCCCTACCTGTATCCCTCTACACAGTCACACAGGAATGACACAGAAGATATCAACCCTGGAATTATGTCCAACCACTTTAACAGATTTCTAATATATTCTACAAGCTATTTAATATATAAAATGCAACATTATTTTCACTTTTTGTGCATCATGTGCTCCRAAGTGGGAAATACCAGAATTAAGGCTGTCTTCTTTGCAAGTCACCAACACCTATTCTTGCTCTTAAATTCTGGCACTAAATATGGTCCACACCAACCCGCTCAAAATGCCCTTTTCACCAGTGCTCTTCCTGTCCCAGGTGCACAACAAATTCTACTAAATTTCCCCACRGGGTTCCTACAAGGTTTCCTACAAATGTTAACACAGAAGTGCAATTTAGAGTCTACGTTGTTTTTTTCCCTTTTAAGACACACCACCATAGCACTGTTGCTGTACCTGGARTGTTTTCCTCCCTGGGATGGGAGCTGGGATGTTTACGGCTTGTGTCCAGGAGCACCAGGCCTCAAACCTCACATCCCAGTGTGAGACCAGAAAATCTTATCCTGCAGCTCCCAGCTTTRTTTGCCATCCAATCTCCCAGGGTTGTATGGAGGGGACAGAGACATGGAGGGGACACACTGTGGTACTAACATTYCCAGTGGGACTCGTACACCACTGCACCAGCACACCAACAGCCTAAGCTTTAAAGGCAGGTTTAATCCTGGCATTTCCCAAGCTTTTGAGCATTTGCTCYCTAGGTTTCAGCCAAGGCCACCTGTGAATCCCATGTGACTTRTTTCAGGAATGTGGCAACAGCGGAGCCTTGCTCAGTCAGGTCCCACTGACTCCTATTGCCAAGGTGAGAGAGGAGCACTGCTGATATGGGAGCCACCATCCTGGGCAGGTATTCCCTGGAAGAGCAGGTCATTCCATGCATGGCACACACCAAATTGGCTCGGAGGGTTAATGGTGCTCAACTGGAAAAACACTGGTCCAACACTGCTGTGCTGCTCATGAGGACAACCCAGCCTCACCCTGCTGTTCAAGGCCTAGCTGCGTGAAGGAGGACCAAGAGAAAACAGGACATTGCCACATGGATCTTTTTCTTTGCAATATTATGTCTAYAGTGAAACATTCATAGCTGCTCAACAGAGTAAAAATGTGCTACATGAGAACYGTACCGGAAAAAGCAGGGCCCTGGAAGAGCTGCAGAAGAGTCTGAGAGCAGATAAAAACCAGAATGAACAGCCAGCTTCGAAATATGCCACTGGAAATATCTGAGGGAATGAACACCCTTCTCCTTTCCCAACAGTCTGGCAGATACTGGAATTGGTGCAGTTCCCAGACTCCTGCTGTCTGGGCAATGTTGGTGTCAGGATGGGCACAGCCCTCCCTTGGAGCAGCACGGGATGCGATCCCTGGGACAGAGGGAGTGCTGGAGCCCTGTCCCTCCTGCCCTAGAAGCATCCCAGCACTGCTGAGGCAGGGACAGCCTTGCAAGGACAAGGGCAGCTGACAGCCAGCCCRGGGATCCAGGGAGCTGCAGATCCAAAACACGGAAAGCCGAGAAGTGCCTGCTCTCCTGGGAAGCACACACAGTCCGGATGGCAGACAAACCATCCACGCTGACAGGTTCTGAACTCAAGAGCGTGCCCTGGGGAATTAATTTACAAAGTGCCACTGGTCCTTGGAACRAAATCTAATGTACAGGATATAATACAGCAAACAGCAGCCCTGCAGTTCGTGCTGGCCCCTCTCTGCACTACCTGTAGAAGGACTCCAATATCCACTCTTTACAACAGACTCCTTCCCTTTTCATACGAAGGAAAATGAAAACATAAGTTAAAACAGCAATAAATAAAACTACGGAAGGTGTGCGTCCTGCTCAGCCCCCTTTGTGCATCCCAATCAGACTGGAGAGCTTCTCACAGTGCTCAAGTTTCAGGGACTCTGCTTTCTGTTTTAACCGCTCATCTCTGTAGAGCTTGGCCAAATTTGACAAATCAGACTCTGAAAGGTGAAAAAAAAATGTATTAGGATGAAGCCGTGAGCATCCTTTGAAGAATTGTTTCTTAGTGCTTTGTTATCCTTGTTGCACTTTTAAATTTTAATTTGGTAGGTATTAAATCCAGGGAGGTGAACAGCTACCCAAGGGACTCATCTGAAAGGCTCCCTGCCCTTTCATTAGCAATCTCAAATGTACTTTGCATTTTTCCCCCTTTTTCCCAAAAGCAACATTAAACTGAAATAATCCCATTGTTTAAATTATTTCCCCCAGTAATTCAGAGAAGTTTCTTTTGCTGATTAGCTGAGGAAGTCTTAATRTAGGTTTCTCCCTCTAGAATAATTTGGATGCAGGATTAGATGCACCAAGGAGAACAGCAGTAATTTACTTCTGAAAAGGTCAACATCTCCGTAAGCACAGGCTACCTGATGACACTCAATTTTTCAAAGMGCTTTTTATACACCTTACAAGCCCCTCATTTTACAAGATTATTCRGAGTGGAAAGAACTTCAATAGATCCTTTCATGCCTGACGTCCTCTGTCCCYGTCCCACTGAAATTTAAAGCCATTTAACCCTCCTCCCACTCACTGAAGAGCTTCACAAACTGACAGGCAGGAACAGTTCATTTTAGAGTAGGAACCCAGGTACAGGTTTATAACCAAAATGCCACTCAAGCAGTGCTGGGCACAGCCCTGTCAAGCCTCCAGCAAACCCAGACTCAGGTAATTGTCCCAGAGCCCAGAGTCCCTGGAGTTGTGCAGTGGAGAATCTCAGTTTACACTTACCCAATTGGGGAAAATTACTGCCTGCACTTTTGACAGTGTTCATTCCATCACATTTTCTCCTTGTGGGTTCCAATCTTTTATAGAGTAATTCCATTGAAATCTTTTCTTCAAGAAGGTWCTAAAATATTTGATTTCATCTATATTTACACTGGATATACAAAAGAAATTTTTCCCTGTGAGGATGGAGAGACCCTGGCACAGGGTGCCCAGAGAAGCTGTGGCTCCCTGAAAGTGTCCAAGACCAGGCTGGACACTGGKGCTTGGAGCAGCCTGGGACAGYGGGAGGTGTCCCTGCCCATGGCAAAGGTGGAACGACATGAACTTTAAGGTCCCTTCCAACCCAAACCATTCCATGATTCTGTGATACTTATYCTGATTCTGTTTGCAACTGCCTCTTTATGACCCCAAGGTCTYTGCAGCCTCACTTTACAGCTGTGCCATCCCAACTGAACCATTTTCTGTAAAAACCTGGGATGTGCTTTTTCAACTTAACTGTATCAAAAGTTTCAGAAAACCCAAAGCCAGAGCCCACCCAACTTTCACACACAGCTCTGCTGAGAAGCCCTGTCTAGTGCAACATTATAATGCTGACTGCCTGAACAAGGTACTAACCAATCCATTATTTTAAGGTTTTCCTTAATGTTGTTGGACACCAGGTTACACTCTTCAAGTCATAAAATCAAGGACTTTAAAACCCAAACTGCACCTGAACAACTYGTCTCTGTCCATTTTGCTGGTGCTCAAGGGAAACGTGCCCTCAGTAAACACAACAAATGTACTATTAATAGACACTGAACTGACAAAGAGCTCATCACATCAAGTCCAACACTTCAGCAAGGATTAAGGGACCAACGCTGTGGAGCAACAGCTGACTAAGAACTGCCTCAGCATCTACAGAACTTTTCCCCAGCACCCCATCGTGTATTCAGGGTTTATTTTTACAAACATGACTGTCCTAAGCTCATCAGTGCTCCTCACCTGCTCWCTAGCCCGGATGGGAAGCCCTCTGSGAATGTCTGGTTTTACTGACAGTGGTGTCCTCAAGCTATCTAATTGTGGCTGTTGTAAATGTATTTGCAGCTGGTGACTAACACAACCCCTAAGTGTACAAAGCTCTGGAGGAGCCCAGCTTGGCAGGCACTTGGCATTCCATGCTGGATCATCTCCCTTCTCTGGCTACTGGGCTCTCTTAGACACACAAACCCTGTCTCCCTCTTTGGGGCTGGGCTCTCCTCAGCTCCAGGTGTCTGTGAAAGAGACAATGTGGTGACTTTCAGTTGTACAAGGTTAATTAAAGGGCTTTCTGTGTATGGAATGAATTCTCTCCCTGCAGAAAGCCTACATTTATGAGATTTAACAGCCACATTATCCCTGGAGGCTGCTCCTGCCAGCCACAGATACTAAAAGTTCACAAATCAAACACACCAAAAACTTCAGGACTTTGATGGTCTTATATTACATGTTCCTTTCCTTTTACCTTCAGAGCCTACATCTTTCTGTTTCTCTTTAAAAGCAGGATTGGTAATTTCTATGTAAAATAAGCCAAAATAAGCATTCCCATCAAAAATCTGTCACAAGCCTGGAGTCAGCAACACTGTTTCTCTAGGACTAAATGAGTCTTGTTTAGACAAACTGTGTTTCCACAATGATGCAATCGGTCAAGAAACTGAAAACAAATGCCAAAGCACTTTTTAGAGGCATGCTGAGGAGTGCTGTGCATAGAGCAACTCAAAACCCCTACCAGAGTGTGAAAGCAGTTTGTCTGATGCTACTCARCATTCACACAGCCACAACTTGTTCCAGCTTCCTTGACGCACAGCACTTCTTGGTGTTGAGTCATTTGAAGGTGATGAATTCTTTAGGTGAATAAAACCAGTCACAACATCCAAGCCTAAGCTACTCTCTATAATTTGATTTCTGTTATTTCTTACCATTCTGCAAGCAGCAGGGATTTGCAATCTCTTCAATGAGCCAGATTAGCAGCAATTAACAAGTAATAAAACATGGGGCTAACATGCCTTAAAACATGAGCTTAAGATGCCCTTTTTTGTGCCAAAAAAGGCACAAAAGTTACCCAGGGCTGAGTGAGAATAACGACTTCAAATACTCACATCTGTGTTCTCTCTTTCTGCACTCAATTCTTGTTTTTAAAAGACCTGAGAATGGTGAAAAACATGATCTCCAGCTCATCTAAAGATAGAAAATGCAAATAACACCCAAACCACTGAAGCATACGGTGAAAACCGATACCAGGAACAGAGCCCACTGTAAAAGAGCCAAGAGCACCTGAACACGCTCTGGACTCTCCTGGAGAAATTTTAAGGAAAATGTTACAGAAACTTCTTGTGGAGCCAGTCAAAGCAAAACTGGTTCTGCTCCAGCAAAAGGAACATGGAATAGGTGATGCCTCAGGATCTTTTCCAGCCTAACAGTCTGTCAGGGCTAGATGAATGTGGTGGGTTGTATGTTTAAAACATCACTGAGAGTTATTCGAGCATAAGAACTGAGCGGAAAAAAGTGTCTCAAATGGTGAAGTCTACTTTCCACTCGTCTCTCAAAATCACTTAAAATGTATTTTGACAGATCTCAAGAATAGCAAATTCAGTGTTAAGAGCAGATGTGAGACACCTCACACCAGTGCAAGGTTGAGATGCTACAAGGACTGGAAACTAAAACTAAAAACAGCAGCGCTTTGTGAAGCACAACCACCACTCAGCCCCTGAAATGCACTTGGGACAGAAATAACTTACTTTGCTGTTTCTCCTTCCAGCAGCTGGTCTGAATATAGTCTATGTAATCTTTTTCAACTGTTTTCTCAAGCTCTTGAAGTTCTGCTCCTTGATAATTCTTTTCAAAGTTTTTATCAACATAGTAAGGCACCTGCAAGTTCTCCGTTTCTCTGCTGACAACGTGGCCTATGGACCTGTGGGAACAGCAGGGAGAAATGAGATGCTGCAGCAGTTCAGACCTCAAGAAATCAGGAGCTGTTTCTTCATGTTAGCAYTTCCAGAAAACAATATTTACAGCAATGTTTGTACAGTTCATTTCTGCAGGATTATGGCTCCCTCAACCATCCAGTCAGGAAATTACAAGTCTCAGGCACAGCAAGCTGTGCAGTACAAACAGAATCCACCCTCCTGCTAAAACCACAGGAAAACATGCCAGATGTGGAGATACCAACATTGCTCCTTCCAAATACTGTGTTTGTTCCCAACAGTTCAGTCAAGACACTTCTAAAACATGAGAGCAAATTTTATCTATGAATTCTGCAGACACTTTCTTGTGTTTGCTGGTGATTTCTGGCAAGCTCGGTCCAGAAATCCATGGGGATTGATAACAAAGGAAGAGATTATAAAAATTTAGGGCACAATGCAATTGGATTGGGATTTTACCATTTTTGGATACTTTAGTAGAAATAAAACTTAGCAGGGGAGATTCTAGTTACACTTTTCTTCAGGGTTTTATAATCACCAGTAACCAAACCGAGGCATGGAAAACACCCTGTGGGAAGAATTAGCCCCTCTGACAGAGTCACTGGATTAAACTACACTCCTGGAGTGAATTTCCTTATTTGAGCAAAGATACCCAGGCCTTTGCTCAAATCATTGCCCACAAAGACAGGCAGGCAGCCAAAACACAAAGGTTGCACTCTACTCAAAGGAATCCTGTTTGCCCCTTTTTCCTGGACTCCTCTTTTCCTTCTCTCTCCCTGTGTCTCAGAGCTGCCCACAATTTCTTTCAGTTTTCAGGCTCTTCAGTTGTTTTAAGGCTGTGATTTAGAGAAACAGCCTAACTCTGTACTGGGCTCAGGCCTGCCTACCTCACATCCCCAGGAGAAGGGGAGGCAGTGAAGAAAAGCAGATCAGCTGCTGTGGGGGCAGCGTGGGAGGTTTCACATGGGACTGGCAGATAGCAAAAACACTCCCTGGAAATAAAACCACCCTAAAAACAACCTCCTGTTCTTTTCTGAGGGCCTCACACTGACATCGTGTGGTAAAACGACAAGGGGTGTTGGGCTGCTCTGACAGAGGAGAGCAGGGAAAGGGTGGACCTGAGCAGTTTTACTGCTAAAAGGGAGCAAGGGGAGTGTTTGGAGCACTCTGCCACTTGCCCCAAACCTGCCAATCCCACTCCTCCCTCAGTTAGGGCTAGCCCAGGTCAGCTCTTACCCTCCCCCAGCACTGGATGTGAGAGGAATACATGGGTTTTTCTCTGCACCACAAACTCCCAGTACAGCTGTTCCGGTGGGGTCCTTCCGCTAGAGCTCCCACCAGCCCCCCAGGGTCCTGCTTCTCTACAGAACTTAAACCAGGGCATTTCAAAGCTTTAATGATTTGTGGAGCTTCCAGTGGAATTCATGCTCCAGAAACGATTCAGATTTCCATGGGCTTAATTTTTAAATTGCTTTCCAGAGGAACCTCAGTGGTGGTCCAGATCCTGGGGGCTGGGCAGATCAGAGGTTGATCTACACCCACATTCCCCATCCTGTAACACTGTGAAAAACCACTTTACACCAGCTGAGAAAGATTTCTGCCCTACTGCCCCTCTTCGTTCAGCACCCTGTGCACTAAAGCTCCCCATGGGTAACTTCACAGGGAGAGGGCTCAGGAGAACCTCCAGTGCAGGCTGTTGGTATTTTCTTATTTACAAATTGATAACACTTGCTAGAAAAAGCAGAACATAAACATGAATTTTGCTATCAAATCCAACTTCCATTTGCCTCCATACTGCAAACAGCAACATCAGAAAAACGTGGTTTTAAAGGACTTACGATTTGTAGAATAAGCTGTAGGGTGGATTGGTGGCCATCAGCTGTGTTATAACTGACACTATTATGATGATGAAAACTGGCATCAACTGGATAAATGCAGAATATGAATTCTGAAAAGTACAAGGATTAGCAGTCAAGAAAATACAGAGATGGAAAAAGGCATCTGTTCACAGAAGCCAGGCTATCAATCACAGATCAACAATGTGTCACATGTAAACTTAAAAGAAAACAAGAGGAAGTACTTTGGGATTTTGAAAGGGATGATATTGTAATTTCTAAATAACCTTTATTAATAATATCAGAACACTCTTGAACAGCATTTTCTTTCAATTATCTCTGCCTCTTTCTTCAGAGTGCCTACAGTCAGTGCCCAGTTGATAATCCAGCCTGCAGAAACGCCCTGCCATTCCCGTGTACCTACACCTGCAAAGGGGCTTTCCTCTGAAGTTTGCTACATCCATTGAAAATATCTCAGCCTCTGCTCAAGCACTGCCTTAATGGCTGAGCATTAAAGGGTTAAGAGCTCATATGAAGTGTAACTTAAGACAGGATGCAAGCACTTGGGCTTTTGTTTGGATTAATTTAGCAGAACAAAAGAGTGGAAACATTATCAAAGAGAAAACACTGATCTTTCCTTCTGCTCTTTGATTTCTTTTTAAACTGGCTTCTAAAATTCCTTTTCTAGTCCAGAGGAAAATGGAGCTCGTTAGGCTTTGCCCTGTGCCCTAGGATGGAAACAAAGATTCTTGATGTAGCAGACGTGGGATTTACATAATCACAGAATTATTGAAGTTGGAAAAGCCATCCCAGACCATCGAGTCCAAGTTGTGCCTAATCTCCACCGTGTCCCCAGCCCAGAGCACTCAGAGCTACCTCCAGCCCTTCCTTGGACACCTCCAGGGATGGGCATTCCAAACGTCCCTGGGCAGCCCCTGCCAAGGCCTGACCACCCTTTCCATGGGGAAATTCCTGCTGATGTCCCCCCTGCCCCTCCCCAGCCCAGTCTGAGGCCGTTCCCTCTCCTCCTGTCCCTGTTCCCTGGAGCAGAGCCCGACCCCCCCGGCTGTCCCCTCCTGTCAGGGAGTTGTGCAGAGCCACAAGGTCCCCCCTGATCCCCCTTTGCTCCAGGCTCAGCCCCTTTCCCAGCTCCCTCAGCCGCTCCTGGGGCTCCAGCCCCTTCTCCAGCTCTATTCCCTTCCCTGGACAAGCTCCAGCCCCTCAGGGTCTTTCCTGAAGTGAGGGGCTGAACTCACTTGCCCCAGCTTAACTGTCTGTTAGGTGCATCATGGTTTTCTTTCAGAGCCTAAGAAACTCMCAAGGAAAAACTCATCTTCCTTGGAGAATGATCCCTGGAGGTTAACAGACTGTCTCCAGAGAAACATTCTGCCTAGGCGGGTGTCAGGTGCATAAGTGCACTGACAACAAAGGTCACTGTGTCTCATCTGGCAAAATTATATCCCAGTCCCATCCTGTCCCCAGCTGGAAGAACCCTGGGCAGCACCTGGGTGCTAATTTACTGAAGGATTAAATACACCTTGAGGACAAGCCAGTACTTCCATATCCATTACCAGTCCCCATTTGGACTAATTGCTGTTGGATTACCAAGCATTAGAGCTTGCAAAAAGCAAGCAGCAGCAAAACTTTCAGTGACAGAAACTAGAGGGCCTGTAATCTTATAAATACAAGATATTTTTACAGCAGTGTATAATAGAAGGTTATCTAGAGACAAAGAAAATATCCACTGTGGCTGCAGCCCTTGAGGATAACCACTGAGCACTCAAGCATGGGAAGGTTTGTCCTGGCTTTGGAAGAGGATCCCTTACTCTGCTGAAATATTTAAACTGAAGTGATCCCTCCTGCTGGCTACCTGTGGCCTGTGTTCTTCCTCCTCTGGCTCCTGTGTCCACGCCCTCTCAGTCCGGTGCCTCCGTGGGTAATAGTGAGCATCTCTGGCTACATTGGAGAACATGTGGATATTCCCTGGAAAACAAACCAGGACACACTCACTTTTCACCCAGTTGCTGGTACTCAACTGGATTCCTCAGTTTCTATTTAATTATCCAAGTTTATACTACACAGTCTGAATTACAGCTGGGAGATCTCTAAGTAAAAAGTGCAAACTACCTCAGAATTAAACACCCACCACAATGTTATTCCAAAAAGCATACCAGAGTAATGGGAAAGTGCTCCAATCCATCTTAATTTAAATCAAGCTGCAGAAACATGTTCTGATTTTTATGATTGTATCTCATATTTTAATGCTGTGCTTGTCACATTCACTTGCAAGACTGTGGCAGGAAAATGAATTTGCTTCACCAGGCTCAGGCCATAAATTACAGCCTCCCATAATTACTGAATGTGGTCTTCTACCCTCATTTCTAATTTCTCTGCCTTCAAGCCATTAATAATTTCACTTAATTATTTTCTAATAAAGAAATAGATTTTAAAAAGAGTAAAAAAGGAGAACAATTCAGGATTTTCTTTCTTGCACACAGAATGCGGTTGATTTATTTTTAAAAAATCTAAAATGAGGGAAGAATTGCATTTGCTACTTCAATTTGAAGCTCAGGATCTGATTTTATCACCATATGAATATCTTAATAATAGCTGTGCTCTCCTCTTTTGAAATTCAGAATGTCTTTGTGTTAGAAAATTGAAATCTATGGCTTATCATCACAGCAGAAATGCAAAACTATTTTTAAGCCCTGGGAAAGATGTCACATTATTTTATACTCTTATCCTGTCCTTTTTTGAGTTCCCCAAAGAATTCTGCAAGAAACCTGGGCAAAGGTGACCTCTGCTATTGTGTCAAAACCTCTGTTCCACTGCTTGTTCTAACATTTTCCAAGCCCTAGGCATGTGTGCAGTCAGAGCTCCAACAGTGAGCTGAGCCAGGCTGGCTCCAAGGAGGAAAGTTTCCCTTTGGAAGAAAAAAAAAAAAAAAAAAAAGCTTATTTCTATCCTTCAACATTGCTCAGACAGGATTACAAGATTTTATCAAGCTATGAAAAGCAGCAAGTGTGGGAAGAGAAGAATGGCTTTTGTAGGGGTGTCTAAAAAAAAAGTTTTCCCAAATTTTATGTTTCTCCAAGAATTTCTGCCAGCAGTTCCCTTCATTCCATGTGCATTTATTTTTTATGAGAAGAACTTGTAACCTCTACTCACTAAAACTGCAACACTCTGCCACATGGAGTCTCTTTTGAGTTTAACCACATTTAACATTTTAAATTTTGCTCTTTTCCCACTGAATATCCATGGAGGAAAACTACTCAGTAAAAACAAAGCCGCAAACCTGCCCCCAGAGCCCAGTGAGAAAACTCTTGTTTGCCACCAACACCTGCTACCAGGAAATTATATTTTTATTTTCTTACTCTTCGCCGCTTTGCTAAAAATTTCTATTTTCTCCTTCATGCCAGTCTCCCTGTTAAACCTGCCATGCCCAGTACCCAAACTCCTGCCACAGGTCATCAATTTCCTGTCCTCAACTCCAAGCATCCCTATTCCCCACAGACCCATTCCATGAGAGTGATGTCCCACAAAAGGCACCTCCAGGTGCAATTCCTTGCACAGTCAGAAATGGAAAACCTGTGGGCTTCAGCTGGAATTACACCATGCTGGGGTTGGCTTACTTTGCATATCCACTGATCCAAGTTTGGGAGCCATTTGAGGTCCCCTTAGCTGCAAGCTGCACCACTCACAGCATGGTTTAGTGAGTACCTACTTGTCGCTGTGTCTTTAGGCTGAAGTAACTGGTGTGTACCTCACTTTTTGTGAACCYTGCAGGTGAAAAGTTCCCATGAGTGCTAAAGCAATTCCTTAGATGCTGCCAGGAGGGTCCTTGAAGTCCTCACATCATTCAAATTTATTTTCAGTCCACTGATCTTGCAGGATTTTTTTTCCTACAAATCCAAAAGCCAAGGCTGGACTGAGCCATGCACAGAGCTACAACAGGAACAGCTCCACTGCTGTGTCACTGGATCCTGCACATCCACTGGATCCTGGGCATCCACTGCCAGCCTCTCCTGGCAAGCAGCACCTGCTGAGCTCCCACACTGTAATTTCATTACAGCACAGGCTGTTGTGGGGCACAGGAGCTCCTGTTTCTCCTGAGATCACAGCTCCAGCAGCTGGGCCATGCTGGCCTGCAATAGTGTCAGGTGCTTCAAGTACAACCCAATTATGCAATTGTTAATGTTGGAAAAGACTTCTGAGGCCACTGAGTCCAACCATCACCAAWGACACCTCTGGCCCCTTCCCACTCACACCCCATTTTACCTTCCATACCATTGCTGGCTTTGGATGATGGATGAAATAAAAGAAGGAAGAAATCAAATCTGAAAAGGTTTCTTTTCAGATGTATTATCAACTCCCTGAGCAGTCCCAAGGGAAACTGAACCTCCTTCATATTTTATAGAATCAGAGAGTATCCTGAGCTGGAAGGGACCCACAGGGATCATCCAGTCCAGCTCCTGTCCCTGCCCAGACCCCCCAACAATCCCACCCTGCACAYCCCTGKCAGCRCTGTCCAAACTCTCCTGGAGCTCTGGCAGCCTCGGGGCCRGGACCATTCCCTGGGGAGCCTGGGCAGTGCCAGCACCCTATAGGGGAAGCCCCTTTTCCTGATCTCCAGCCTGACCCTTCCCTGGCACAGCTCCAGCTGTTCCCTTGGGGTTAGGGTCAGTCCACTGCCTTTCAAAAGCACTGCAGACAGGTACTGACCTGTAGGRAAGTGCCCACCAAAAAACACATTGAATATTTCTTCAGGTGTAATGTCTGCTTCAAATTCTGTGTAGTAATTGTAGTGCCTGGCCTGGCCAGTGCTGACATGTTCRTGGTCACTCCCGAGCTCATCGTAGCGCAGTCGTTTCTCAGGGTTGCTCAGAACTGCAAAAGCATTGCCTATTGCTGGAGAGGGAATTAAAACAACTGTTACATTTCCAGAGATCACATTTTCGTGAGTGGAGTAGCAAAAAAAACTCAACCAAACAAGCCTAGGAAATATGAGATTGAGTTCCTTTTGTAAAAGATGTATAACAGCTCTGGCATTATCTGTGATGGAAAACTGATGTCACTGATGCCAGGAGAAAGACAGAAGCGTTCAAGCTTATGGAAATACTTGAAATATTTGTAAAACTGARGTGAGAGTTCACTTCAGCCAAGAAAATGGGTGACAGTGGAGCATTTCATCAGCTCAAACCAAATGCAAGTTTGGCCCAAGTGCACCTCCATATACCACATACAATTAACACACAATAACTGCACAGCCCAATTAAAATTAAAATAATATCCCAAGTTTTTCCTGCTAGCAGAGGCGCTCCTGAAGCTGTGTGGCACATCTATTTCACACCTCATATCCAACCACTCGGAAGTGTTTGTATTATCTTCTTTGATCTCTCACAGAACAAGTTCACAGAGGAATACAACCCAAACACAAAGAACAGCCTTTCAGAAGCTCCTTATTTTAACAGACTATGAATGAATCACTTGCTTTCCTCGTGCTGTGCTGCATGGAAAGGGAAAATATGCATGAGTTGAGACAGTAACACTGCTAATACAGAACTGCAATGTAACACAGAAGTCCAGACACAGCATATTGGATTAAATTTCATATTCATTTATATTTCATATAAATTGCATATATATGTGTATGTATATATATATATTCATTCATGATACAGAGCAGTTATTGATGACAAATAACCCACTGTCATCCATGAGCAGTGTTACTTCCAAGTTCTGAACTTTCTGCAGCATCATGGAATCCCAGATTGGTTTGGGCTGGAAGGAACCTTAAATTTATCTCATTTCATTCCAATCCCATGGGCAAGGACACCTTCCCCTAGAGCAGGTTGCTCCAAGCCCCATCCAAGTTGGCCTTGGATACTTCCAGGAATGGGGCAGCCACAGTTTCTCTGGGCACCCTATGCCAGGGCCTCCCCACCCTCACAGGTGGGAAATATTATATATTCCCCCTGTTATATTATATATTCCCCCTGTTATATTCCCCCTGAAATATTATATATAGCCCCCTGACCCTGGCCTCTGTCAGTGTAGAAGCCATTCCCCCTTGTTCTGTTCTTCCAGGCCTTTGCAAAAAAGCTCATCAGMAGTATCTAGGAATGAGACCTGGGACACACTTCCCTCCGTTTCTAAGGGAGATGTGTTATTTTACAGACAGAAATGTAAAACCTGCCGAGCCGCAGCGGGGTTGTGTGGGGACGCTGCTGTGTCTGTAACCCCGCCCGGCTCTGTGGGCCGCTGGCCGCCTCTGTAGCAGCGCAGCCGGTGCGGCCCCTCAGCCCTCACCGCGTCCCCGGGCCCCTCACCTTTGAAGGCCTCAGTGGCTCCGGGCGCGCGGTTCTTGTCAGGGTGGAACTTGAGGGCCAGCTTGCGGTACGCCCGCTTCAGCTCCTCCTCGCCRGCATTCCGGCTCACCCCCAGGATCTCGTAGTAATCCCGGCACCGCTTGATCCTGAGGGCGAATACGGGGTTATCCCAGGGCTCCCCGGCCTCCCCCTTTCCCCAGGCTTCCCCCCGGCTCCCCGCCGCCCCCCGCGGCCCCCCGTTGCCGCTCACCGCCGCACCCCGTCCAGCTGCTCTGCCGTGTAGGTCATGTCGGCCCGGGGCCGCCGCTGACCCTCGCTCACCGCCCGCCGCACCGCGCCGCCATCTTGTGCGCGGGGGCTGYTGGGAACCGGCCCGGGGAGGCTGGCGGGAGCGTGACGTCACGGCGATGGGCGGTGACGTCATGAGCTGCTCTGAGGGGAGCTGGAGGTTGGTGGTCATGGAATCATGGAATGTCCAGAGCAGAATGGGGTGCACCCCACGATCATCCAGTCCAGCTTCTGGCTCTACACAGCACACCCCAACAATCTCACCC